GTTATTTCAAATCTCAAAGTTTACATGTATTCATGTGGTTGTCGTTGTTGTAATCTAAATTCGCCAGTAATACGCCAGGTTTTACCAGAAGAAAAAGTTCGGATAAATTTATGGCGAATTTATACAAGGTGGTGTTGATGGCGAATTTATATTTTCGCCGCGGAACTTCCTAATGTCAAAATGATGATGAAAGAAGGCGAATTCATATTACAACAAACACATTATTTTGACATTAAGATGTACCGCGGCGAAAATCTAAATTCGCCATCAACACCACCTTGTATTAATTCGCCTTGGGTAATGAGTCAATATGGCGGAATTAGAGCGAGAAGTTGCCAACCGATAACACATTGTATTATTGCAGCATGCTTTCTGCCAAACCACTTATACATGTGGAAATGTTCAAATGGTCAATTTGCAATGTGGAAAAGTTATAAAGAATTAGTGTCCCTAATTATGTGGCCACCACTGTACATACTTACGTACATGAATAGGTTCGTTCGCGTAGCTGTTAATTGTTCATGTTTAACCAAAACTTACAGGTTTTTGCGTTCGCGTACGCAAAAAACTTGCAAAGTAGGGGAAATTGAGAGAGCAAAGTGACATTTCATTTTGAGGGGAAGCTGCTGGATTCTGTTGGAAAAATTTTTGCCAACAGCAATTTGCCAACAGGGAAACAGCTGATCAAAAACAGCTGGTTGGCATTTACGCAAATCACAAAATTTAATTTGATGGTTTGGAAGATAAAAATTACAAAATGCGACTAATTAAACTTGTAAGAAATAAGTAGTTATTTGTTTAATCAATAAACTGTGTCAGTATAACACTTTGCGATGACTTTTCGTACGTTTTAAATTTTACACTTTTGTATGTAAACAAAAATTATATCAGCTGTTCGTCTAACTTGCAAGTTTCTGCAAATTTTCTGTTCGCGTACTATTTTGGATATTTCTCTCTTGTGAGCGAACACATGACATTTCGCCGGAATTTGGCAGTTGGTTGGTTTCTGTTGAAGATTTTAAACGAACGCACCTAATATTGTATGGTTGCAAGGCGTATTTTAGGTCGGTGTTATGCAGACAAACTTTTGTTTGCCAAATTAAATGGCGGCTGCTTAGTTTGCTCGGAGGTGGTTATGTCGAGTTTGGCACAGGGTTGCACGTTCATTATGGTTTTCATGGCTATTGCCAACACGAAATGAGAATTTCAGATGTACATAACGCGCAAAATTTAAAATTTTTGTATATGACAACACCGAATTTGCTGCAGTTTGACCAAACAAAATTAGTTTGCTGTGAGAGTCGCCAAACTCGCTCTCTCCGAGTTTGCTGCAACAACAATTGCACGCAGTTTGCCAAACAAAATTTCTGCATAACACCCACCTAATACACCTTGGTATGGTTGCATACGAGAATGATAGAATTGGTCGCTATTCATGTCTTTCGTTCATGGTACTTATCAGTTTCCCCTTTTATTTTTTATTCGGTTGTCTTCGCTTGCTTTGTCAATTGTGTTTTGCCTGTCGATAGACAAAAGTATTCATATGCGGAAATATAGTATTAAACACTTGGATGTGAACAATTCAGAAATAAAATGTCTGCAAAAGGAAACAACGGCAGTTACAAAGTGCTTATGCAGTTGTGGTCAAATGAATTAACAAATGATGATAATCCCCCGGCGTTTTATCTGAGCCGTCCAAATATACGCGCCGTCTACACTTCCAATTATGGCGAAACTACTGATGACGTACACTTATTATACTTTAAAGAACCAAAGAGTACAGCATATCCTCTTGACTTGAATAAGGGATTCGATCAATTCATTTTCCGCCAAAAAAGTAAACCAAGTCAAGTATTGGCTAAAGTCCAAAAATTTGTATTGGAGAGCGAAGATAATGTGTTGAAACCAAATGCCTCAATCCCGGATGCGGAGTTCCGAAATGAACCGCAGGCAAAATCAAAACGAAAAGTGGTGCTAGGCCAACGGGGAGTTCTGACTCGTATCATGCTCGTTCCATATCGATTGACCCCATCGGAATATAACAGTTACACATTTTCGGCTACCAGGTACTGTGGTATTCTTCATCTCACTGACGTTGATTGGAGAGATGAGCAGAACAAAAACGGCTCATATCACGGAAAGTTTGCCCAATCCTGCTTTTCCGGTTAGTATCACCATGGGATATGAATGCACTTATGTACATATGTATATAAATTTATTTGTATTTTTAAAGGAATAGAATTTTAGAAATTTTTAGAGCGGTTTGAAGCTGCAAAGACCAGACGAAAGGGCGTAACACTTTGCGCATATCGAAACAGAAAAAGCTTGATCGAGTTGCAATCACAACCGAAGTGTTGAGCGAATCTTTAAAATATCACGTTCTGTGTGCAAATTTTCAGCAGTAGGACAATAACGCCTCTTTTATTATATGCCTCGAACAGGCTAAAAGTTTAAGGATTGAATTCTTAAATTGCAAATATGTAATCGTAATTATCTGAACTCTTTACAAATAAGGCTTGTTCGAGTTGCAATCACAACCGCATTGTTGAGCGAATTAATAAAGCATCACGTTAGCTGTGAATTTCTAGCAGCGTTTTACCAATTTGGAAGTTACAAGTCTTGCAAATTTTCATCACCGCTGCAGTATTGCTGTTTTTATTGCGCGTCCCACCAGGCTTATTCTGTGGATCGCATAGCCAATGTTTGACTTAACAAAAGTTTCTTAAAGTAAAGCGCAGTGCAAATTTTTTCCAGCCAGTTAACTTTCCTATATTTCCGCTGGTTATAAGGATGGCGGGCGAAGGGGGAGTGGGCGTCGTACTAACCGCCATTTACAAAAATGCAACTGCTTCCTTAGCAAACTAGTTAAAAAATTACAGTTTTTACTTTTCGCTTGTTTTTATGTACTTTAATTTGATCGAATAATTAAAAAAATTGCAAGGCCTAATTTTGGATAAAAAAATATTTTGAATAACTTTTTTTTTTTTAATTATAGATGATCCCGATCTGGACCCTATTACCAGTGTGCCTGTGGATGAGAACAACATAACTTTCTGCGTTTATCATACTACAATGAAAGAATTTGATTTGATCTATTCAGCAGAAATCAATGGTATAATTTCAGATCACAAGATCGCTGACATGTAAGTCTATAACATTGGGTTCTTTTAAACAGACAAATTTGTCCTTCGTATATATATACGAATATTTTTATCCACTGCTTTATATGAACAAACAAAAACGAATGTTTGTTGCCCCTTATCGAGAAACTTGGGTCCGGTTTAACTATTTGTACAATGATTTTCGGTTGTTGTGTCCAAACGCATAACCCGAATCCAAAAACTTTAACATACAAGTGTAATCAAAGGATTAATTTTGATTTAAAATAAATTTTCAAATTTGCGAGCAATA